AAAATATCCTGCACCTGAACATGTATCCATGGATCCAGAGATTATGTTCAAGAAAGAAGGTATTAGTCAGACGGTTATTTCTCAATGAATTCTTTATGCATTTTTCAATTTCATTTTGAATTATCACACTGCTTCCCAGTTACACAAAGAATATTATCCCTGGTGAAAATTCTGAACAGGTTCCTAGATAGCCCTAGTAAATTCATACAAGATTTTCACCAACTAGGGATGACATTAAAGGTGTAAATTATCTTAATTGTAGATCTTGCTACTGTTGACATCCAAGAAGAAGATTTAACAACTAAAGAATTAATTGGCAAAGGCCAATTTGGCTCAGTTTATAGAGGCCTTTGGAAAGGTCTTCAGGTTGCCATAAAACAAATTCCTAGAGGGTATGGAGATCCAGATATTAGTGAAGTAAATATTTGTAGGTAAGCTTAATTGTGATAACAAAGCATTATTTGAGGTAAATTGATAAAGGCAGCTTATATATACCCTCAGGTTTTATTTCCTTTCATGTAATGTCTAGCTAGGGTATATGATGCTAATTATGATTGTATTTTTGTCTTTTACTAAACAGACGCTTGAGACATCCAAACATAATAATGTTATTTGGCTGTTTCATTTCTGAAACAGACACTAACATTATCACCAATTACATCAAAGGGGTGAATCTTGGTGTTGCACTGGGACTCATAAGAGGTACTACGAGGTACTAATGAAATGCTTATTGTTTTAATAAAATAGCTTAATAAAAGAATTATAAGACACAAGGAAACAGAAACATAATAAATAATAAATAAAAATAAAAATATTTTAACTTTTCCAGCCAATTGACGAGAAGTACAATGGTTTTCTCCTGTTTTTCATTGCCCAAGGCATGTCTTACTTGCATGAAAAAGAGGTAATTCATCAAGACCTTAAACCTGCAAACATCATTGTAAGTACTTAATTATAAATATTAATCTCAATCATGGTTTATTTACTTCATTCCATTTATTTTGGGGTCCACTGGACTCTCAACTCAAAACAATAGAGTCCCAATTAAAACTCTTGAGTCCTGGGGCAACTAAAAAAACCCTGTTTCTTTCAAAAACTACAATTCAATATTTATTAGAAAAGGTCTATTACATAAATGTAAATTATCTTACTATTAACTATTATATGAAATATTGCTTGGGTTCCCATTTAATTTATTTTCTTCCAGGATGCAAAATCCTGCGACCTGTAAATCCCTGGTGTCAATAATTATAATTTCTATCCATAATACTGATTGCTCTCAAAACATTATGCAAACAACATGAAATCACACCATATACATGTCTTTCTGTTGAGGATCAAATACAATATATGTACAAAATATATGTCTTTTCCAGGTTGAAGATGGTTCTAGGAAACCTATCATTTGTGACTTTGGTGTAAGCAAACTTAAAGACTTAGCGGTCACAAATATGGCAGGATCTAATGCTGGTACACTTGGGTACCAGCATATAGAACAGCTTCATGGCGAGAAAGCTACAACTGCTGTTGATGTGTATTCTTTTGGAGTTATAACAGGTGAAGTATATTCAAGGCAACCAGCTTGGACAGGGAAAACATTTGTTGAAGTAAAAAAAGCCATAGAAAAAGAGGAATATCCCACCTTTCCACGCATTCCTCAAGAATACAAAGATCTCATGGCAAAATGCTTCAAACCTGCCAAACAGAGAGCCACATTTATGGAGCTTTTGCCTGACTTAGAATCTTTATCAAAAATTGATGTTTGGTAAATATCATATAAGCTCATTACCTGAAATTTATTTTGATGTTAAATTTTAAGTGCTAGACTGATGAAATTTTTAACTTGCTGTTTTTTTGTCTGGATCGAAAGACATTATTTTGATAGTGAAGCAATATGTCGCTTTCCTTTTTTAAATATATTTTATTCTAACAAAGATATTGGAGTTATAAAAATTGGTGGCCATTTTGTTGATGACATCATAGTCTCGATTGATACTTGACAAGACCAAGGAATATGATAAGCTGTATCTCACTGTATCCCGTTTTTAACCAAGATCAGTCAAACTTGGTAGTAAAGTATTTTAGCTGTTCTTCAAAACAAACTATATAGATTAGTTGTCATAGCAACAGCCTTGGTTCCAGGCCACCCCTACCTTAAATTCAAGCTTTTGAGAGTTTTCCCCTAATATTAAATGTTATTGAATAAGACAAAGTTAAAATATCTGTTATTGTCATAGAAAAATACGTAGCCAAACATTTTTTGCATCAGTTAAAAATCAACAAGACAATCATCACAATGCCAAAAATGTTGTTTGGGGCCTGGGCACAAGTTAGTTGTCATAGCAACTTCAGTTTGTTCTAAAAACAAGCATACTGCAAAGTTGGAATTATTTATCACATTAATACACTTAGAAACAAACTGATATCTATATTGAAGCAATTTAACTTTGAGTTGAGAATATGACGTCATCAACCTCCTAATTAGCACACACTTGAAGCTTAAGTATCTCTCAAACCAAAAGTGCTAACAAGGAACGGCAAATGAAAATTTTCTTATTTTGCCAAGCACTTAAAAATGTGTGTAAATAGTACAATTTGGAGACATTAAAATTTCATAGGACGGTCTCGCACTTGATAATAACATCATAAATTACATATGATAAATTAAGTTAAGTTAAAGTTATACTGTCTAGAGAATAATAGTAATGTTAGAAATTTATGGCTTGAAGTTGTGTTCATGACATACAGTCATTTCCAATAGAGGCTTTGCACTATCTTTGACCCCCATAGCAGTTGTAACTACGCCACCATGAGAGTTGGCAGCTTTTTGTGCTTCATTCAGACAAGATAGCTGTGTTTGATCACTATGGGGAGGTTTTGTTGTGTTTTGCACCATAGTTACCCTAATGCTATGGGGATGGGATAGTGCAACATTGGAAAAGAGAAGTTTAGTTTATTTTCTCAGTATCTTGCTTCATTTCACATTCCATATATTTATCCATCTTTTCCTCCACTATTATTTTAAAATACTACATTATGTTTAGAAACTATAGCCATGGTGCCTCAATCCAAGAATAATGACGTCATTTACGAAAAGGTGTATTAATTGATATTGAATATATATAAACATTATCGTTGAAATGCAACCCTCGGAGTTTGATGTCTTGTTTGCCGACTAGCATTTCAACGGCTGTCAGTCAAAGAACTAAAATTGAAAAAAATTATATCTTGAGGGAGATGTAAGACAAAATCAAGGATGTTCTTCCTCTAATCATCTAAAATTTTTGTTCCAGTCTAAAATCTCCCTCTGGAGTTCTTTTCTTAATTCTAACTCTGATTGACGGCCATTAAAATGTTAGTCAGCAAACAAGACATCAAACTTTGAGGGTCGCACTTCATTAATAATAGTTGTAAAGTAATACAAATAGAGCGAAACGACATTTAGGAACTAAGAAGAGTAACTAGTTCATCATAGGCTTTGGAGGCAGTTGTTATGTCTATGATCCTTCCTGTTGAGTTAACATATAGATCTGCCTCATCTTTAAATGATTTAGGGAGGTAAACCAGTTGTTGGTTAAAGTTGTACTTTTCCCGAATGTAAACAGCATCAGAAGCTAATACATTCTTTTTCATTTCTTTTGCACCTATTTTTAAGAAAGGGCGATATACATTAATTGGTTGCCTCAATAACAATTAAGGCATCAGTTTCAGGAGTTCCGTGGTGTAATCAGCTGCAAAATGTATAATTAATTTTGGTGCAGCCTTTTAGTTTTTTTAAAAACTTGCAGATAACACACAATTTGTGCTTGTGTTAGAAATAATAATAAACTATTTAGAACATTCAATATTGTTTTTTATGGATTATGCCAAAAATATTTGTAATGAAAATACTTATATTTAAATTAATCTAAGTTATAGTTTGAATTAAGACTGTGTAATACCTTTCAAAGCTGGGAACTCATATAAATCATTGGGCACTCCACATGGTCTGTCTTCACCCCTCTGAAATCTTATTCTGTGTGAGTTCCAGTCTTCCTTTATTTCATTTACTTCCAACTGCAGCAATGGTGTATAAACATACAAGAGACATAACCTTGAATGAAAATGTTTTTTGCTTCAATTATTTGATCATGGCTTTTAGCACTTCTTCATAAATGAAATGGAGATACTTACTGATGGACAGTATTTCCTGGGTCCCATTTACCACTTTGTTGTAGGCTCTAATAATGGAAACAAAAATAGAATTATGACAAACGCAAATTTTTATTTTCTAAAGTGACTATGGTAGTAATTCCCTACCTGCTCTGCTGTGTACACTCTCCATGTACTACATAATGTAGTTCAAGAAAGAAAATCTATTTTCACTACTTTGTAATAAGAATATTTCCAAATGGGGAACAACAAATCGCATCATTAGAACTTCTCAGTGTTTACAAACAAAAGCATTGTGATTATAATATGTCAACCAAGATCAGTACAAAGGGTTTTGTCTGGTTCATTTGTCTTAGTGGCTAATTCATTTCTGGTTGGCGCATTAATAACAAAGGATTACATCACACTGTGTATAGATAGAGATGCCAATGAATTTATTATAATCTCATCTGGTTTGACTGACGCTCATATTCTTTTTACCTTGAACTTATCTATCCAAAACTGGAAGCCTTCTTCTCTAAAATGTCTCCAGAAAGATTCAATTGGCTATAAAGTAATATTTTCAAATATTAAAATGATAATAATAATATATTAATAATAATATTATTAAAATAATATTAATAGAATAGCATAGATTTTTTAAAATAAACATAGTAATTAATTAACTTACATACATTGATAGGGATTAGTTTAGCAACATACATGAATCAATGACTGGATAAGAGTCCATTAATACAAGAAGTGATTTTCAAAATCTGATGACAATTTACCTGATTAATAATAGAAGAACCTTCATTATAGCTGTTTCTACCTGCTAAGGGGTCACCCCCATGCCTTCGCAAGAACATCTGGCATCTAGCAATGATACCATTTTCTGTTCCAGGATCACATCTAATCCTTATGGGGCAACCTTCAGAAAAAAATCTAAATAATCAGACTAAGCAATATTAAAACAAGTTATTTAAAAGGGGTTTTTCAAACATTCCTATGAGAATAAAATAACAAAAAAATTGGTGACCATGATGGTTGATTTAGCAAAAGAGATCAATGACAAGTCTTTTGCTACATTCAACCAAGATGCATTGCAGCAATGAAAACCAGCAATAAGTGCTTTGGGGTTTGAAAAAATTAAGTAATAAACCTTGCTGGTTCTCTTTGTAGAATGCATTGAATCAATGAATTTTTATTTTGAATTAAGGAATTGGCTCTTTGATTTTGATATTCACTTACCAGAATGTAATAAATCCAATATTATTTTAGGTGTAGATGATACCATAATCAACTTTATCATATTAACATACAAAATGTGTTTATATAAAGCAAGAGAGAGCCAGAAAACTCCTAATTTAAAGTTTATACAAAATGTTTTGAGACAAAATGAAAGAATTGAGTATAAG